AAATTTAAAGTTTAAAATGCGTCGGGCCGCACGCCCGTCGTGGGTGACAGCGGCCGGCAGGAACGGCCTTGAAATATTACATACAAAGAATTCCGTATTTCAATCCAGAAATTCCGTAACGAAAATAACCTAACACCCGCCACTCCGACCGGCACAGCGGTGATACTTTTTAGTTTTGCCATCTATCGATGATACTGACTGCTAGATTTTCTAATAGTCTACTAATAGAATTGAAGGCGATTGTGGATGGACCCGCGTGCAGCACCTTGTTTTTTTTTTCTGTGCGGAAATCCCCTCGGATACCACCCAACGTGGTCATGTCGGACTCGAACCAACCATAAACCGCACGCCGTCTCGGGTACCAGTTGCCGGGGAACCAGGTGTAACGTAGGAAGGAAAACCCTGATACCGCGTACAGCACCTAATCTAAAAAAAAGATAACCCATAGGAAGATGATGGTGACTGTCCGGTGGACTTGTAAATCACAGCTTCTTACTAAATGGCACAACAGTGACGGCAGATGTCTATTGCCAAGAATTACAAACAAGGGTGGAGAAGCTCGCAATTCCACAACCACGACTGGTCAATCGCTCTGCCCGATTGCTTCTTCACGACAACGCGCGAGCTCACACTTCACGACAGACCAAAGCTACAAGACTTACAGCCGGAAGGAGATAGCGATCCGCCCCGGCTTCGCACGGTTACAATGTAGATACTACTATACTAATACTACTACTGTAGTAATAGAGTACTAATAATAGTCTGAGTGTAAAGTAATTAATTATACTATTATTGTGATTAAGGCCATATACTACAGGACATCTTTGTATGTAATATTTCAAGGCCCGCTCCGTTCCTGCCGGCCGCTGTCACCCACGACGGGCGTGCGGCCCGACGCATTTTAAACCTCTAATATTAATTTTAATGATATGCTGTAAAGAGCAATTTTAATATAAATATATATATATATATATAGTATATATAGTATATATATAGTATATATATAGTAAATACACAACGTATCTAACGTATTTAATTGGATAAGGAATAATAATGTATTGTTTAAAAAAAAAGCTTCGTAAATAATCTTCATCAATTTTTGAAATATTCAAAAGATAAAAATGGTTACTGTGAGCTATCCGATCCGATATTAGAAGATAGAAAAATACCATCTCGGACTTTTTTGTAGATATACTACTCCGTAGTACATTATTTTGGTCTATCACGTAAGGTTTAGCCAGAGCCAAAAAAAACTTTAACATTCTCTGATTTTCTCTGCTATAATATGCATGTATTATACATATAAACCTTCCACTTGAATCGCTCTCTCTATTGGCGTATTATTACGATATTAAAATCTGTTGCTTAGTATAAAATATCTAATCGTACGTGAAAAAAGGACTTAATTTTATACAATGTGAAGAAATAATGTGTAGGTATGTTCATGACATTGTGCGGGTCAATGGACGTAGGGAACGTGCAGGGTTGATTCAAAACACAAGTCGATAATAAGTTTTTATAGATACATCTACGATGTTATTACAGTAGTATTCTATACTAACTGTTGCCCGTGACTTCGCCCGCGTTAATTTCTAACGCCAAAAAGTTCTCATTTGTCTATAATTATGTTTAATTATTATTTTTATGTTAGGGGGGTCATCTGATGAAAAGTGACCATCGCCGCCCATGAACGTCTGCAACTCAGGAGTCACAAACGCCTTTGAGTTGGATCCGCTTCCACTATCCCCTTGAATTCGTCGTTGTCAACTATAGTTAACGGCCGACCGCGAGGCTCGTTCTTCAACTCAACATTTAATAGACAATAAAAATTAGGAGGGGTCACTGGGAACTGGACTCTTTTAAAAGTAAATGGAAAATTATTCGGAATGAGAGGAATCCAGGGTATAAAAACACTGTCACCTTTTTTTATGTTAGAGGGGGCAGACGAGTAGACGGGTCACCTGATGGAAAGTGAACATCGCCGCCCATAAACGTCTGCAACTCAGGAGTCACAAACGCATTGCCGGCCTTTTAGGAAGGAGTACGCTCATTTCTTGAAGGTTTGAAGGTCGCATCGGTCCGGAAATACCGCAGACGATAACCCGTTCCACAGATTGGTTGTGCGGGGCAAGAAGTGTCTCGAAAAGCGCACAGAAGTGGAGCGCCAACTATCCAGGTAATGAGGATGAAAATTTTGCCGTGTGGAACGATGGCGGAAAGCCTTTGCGGAAAGATTGCGGCTGGTAATAGTCCGAACAATTCCTCCGAGCACTCTCCTGCTTGTTAAAATCTCTGCTTCTATCACTGGTCTATAAATTGACTACTACTATCGTCGTCTATAAATTGACGACTACTTACTATCGTAGAATCGACGCCACCAGAACTTAGTAAGCTGTTAATGTTGTGGTTACATTCTCTTTTTTTTACTAAATTTGATAGTACAAAGGCAGAAGTACTTAATTAATACACACCTTCTCAGCTTGAGATTTCCATGTTAACTGACTGTCTATCAATATACCTAAAAATTTAGAGTTTGGAGTTCGGATTCTCTCGCCCGGTAACATGATTGCCGCTATGGTAATATGGTGCCGCAAAAAAGGGCCTATTTTGGTTGAGAACCAACAAAAAAACGAAGTTCTTAGGTTAGGAACATAAAAAATGCAATCGAATTGAGACAATCATGATTTTTTTGTAGTTTCAGAGCTACCTTTCAGCAGGATAGAAGCTCTTGGGTTTTCGGATAGTGTTACTATAATTAGGGTTGGTGGGCTTGTACAAATAACAATAATTGTAACTACATTATATTCATTTTATTTTACTTAGGAGAACTCAAATAAATATTTTGATCGTTGTTTGTTATTCACAGGTATATGTTAAATTAGATTTGAAATGGGTAGGTACCTACCTACCTTCTTGCGCGGTTAACACATAGATCGTACCTACATATAGATGAGTAGAAAAAGTAAGTTGATTATTAAGTTGTAGAAGAATATGCATTTTTTTTTTTTTTTTAGTGCATATTAATTTGTTTTGGAATAGTGTTTTTTGAAGTCGGTTTTTTTTTGTTAAAATTTTTTGTTTATTTTTTGCTTTTTAGTGAATCTGAAGTACACTTACTAATTTGTCTGAATATGGGTAGACCTAAAAAACGTGCTGCTCAAATGAGACAGCGCCGTTTGAATGAAAAAAAGGGAGTCAGGAAGAAACGCCTTTATCAACAGAGGCAATCTACCCTGTGATGACGGATTAAGAATACAGAATGTCACCACCCCTGTTAATCACATGGGTGTCGTAAGAGTCTAGTGAGGGAGCAAACTACGCAGGACAACAGCACTGCAAAGAGAAGGAAAACTTGAAATAAACCCTATACCAACGCGTCTGGCCAGCGTGGTATAGTAGGCCAAAACCTCTTTTCTAAGGAGAGGCCTATGTCCAGCAGTAGCTTATTAAAGGCTGTTGATGACGACAATTACTTGACCATAACGACGTTACTGTAGGTGACTCAAATATCCAGATAGCCCATTAAAAGATTCAGCCGAGTATCGTTAATTTGCTCCTAAGAATTGAAGAGTTCCGTTACTTTTTCGTGGATCCCATTATCAGAATCTAACCAAACTCTCATCAAAGTACCTTTAAAGTACATTATATACATTATAATAAAAAAAGAATTATCGAAATCGGTTTGCGTGAAATTGAGTTATTCGTCTATTTGTCGCGAACATACTAAATGCAAATTTAAGACTTATATGGTTTTCTCATGGATGCCATTATCAGAACTAAACCAAATTGAAATGGGACCACACGGGAAGCACCAGCTTTCAAATAAAAAAAGAATTATCAAAATCGGTTCACCTAGTCAAAAGTTCTGAGCTAACAAACATAAAAAAAAAAAAAAAAATACAGTCGAATTGAGAACCTCCTCCTTTTTTTGAAGTCGGTTAAAAATACTGGTCTGTCGTTGCAGTAACTCGTTCATATCACTTGGGTATTTATTGGCGTCTAGACACATGATTCTTCACCAACTTTAAGTATTATCAATGCTGTATGAAAACTCATTACCATAAAACTAAAATAAAATCGTACAGAATGTATTAACTTATCAAAATTGACAGATGAATGACAATTGTAAATTACGTTGTTATAGTCCATCAACGTCGTGCGTGACCGTCCTGCGGGGTGACAGACGGTGGCGGGGACGAGGTACTCCAGATGTCAGCGGGTAGCGGGTGGTGTAGCGGGGAAGGGAAACGCTTCTCTTCGTGTGTAGCCGTGTGCTAGAATGACGCGCTACTTCGCCCCAGCCACTATCTGTCACCCCGCGGGACGGTCGCGCACTAGATTGCTCCATTTATCCCCTTGGAAGCCCGTTTCCGGTTGTGGATTGGCACAGGCATATCATAGATTTTGTATTAGTATGATTTTAATTAAATTTATTTTGCTAACTATTTGACAAAACAGAGATTGTTGCTATTGTCTGTGTGTTGATCTACGACTTTAGAGTCTACATAAAAGACGATTTCAAACATTTTTTTAATTTTATGAAATAAAGATATTTTGAATTTTAATTGAATCCACATGGTCAGATAACTCAGTAACACAATAGTTAAAATTAGTAAGCCTTGTATAATCTATTTTAGAACAAGCAACAAAGATAACCTGTCTTTGAAATGTCAAACGTCTCCTGTGACAGCTGTCAGTGCCTACACTAACAGCTGTCAATGAATACGGTTGACATTTGTTTCTTTGACGATTATTTTAAGCGTGTAACACTGGTCAGTGTTGGTCTGGACCTGATCCTGACTGCTAATATCAGCGTATGGTTACGATAAAAGAAGCTCCGCCTAATTTGAGATCAGACGGCCGAGTGTCAGATAGATGAAGAAAGTAAATTATACCTTCCTTCACAAACCTAAAGATGCTACATGAAGGGAGATTACTAAATGAAAAACATGAATAATATTTGAAAAAACAACCATTTATTTGACATAATACCTACAAAATTACAGGATAGCTGAGAGAATATTCTTAACGAAACTTAAATTTAAGAACCACAACAGCATGAGACCCCAAAACAGGTATTGCACAGTCTTGTCCAAAACCGCCATTCTGAAATAAAAAAAAATACAATCCTAAAAAAAGTTATAAGGTCAGTGGTCCTAAGTTTTTAATTTTTTTTTTTATTTCCCACACCAAAAGTTAGGGTTGGAAACGCAATGAAAAAATTGCTTAAATAAATCCGGTCGAGCTGGCCCATTTAGGTACCTATGAATGGTCCTCCCATGGTTAAAAATAACCTGATAAACCTGATCATGCGCTGTTAACACACATTTGCCTATCAATAATCATCGTCAAGGGCTGGATGTCATATTAAGCGTGCTGTTAATCCCAATAGCGATAAATAGTTCTACACCTATTGTAGTGCGTTTACTACGTCGTAGTAAGCGAGATCAACTAATAAATGCTTCAAAAACAAGACGAAATGTTACTAGTAGCGACCTGGACGTACCAGGCAAATCATATAAAATCTACTACAACGAACGCCTAACAAGAGAAAATTTATTGCTATTTCGTATTTGCGCGATCAAAAGCAAAGGAACATCAATATGCATACTGCTGGGTCACTCATTGCATCTAGAACACTGAATCTAGATATCTAGAAGACTACATATTGAACATTTATTTAAATCTAATTGCTTTTTTTATTAATTATTGTACATATCACTAAACATTGTCCGTGTGGTGACGGATTAAGAATACGGATTGTCACCACCCCCAATCGTCCCGTGGGTGTCGTAAGAGCTGACTAAGGCAGCAAACTACGCTGGACAATATCGTTTCATATGTATTCAATGAGCAATTTAATTTAATGTATAAAATATTTTTTATTTTTACCCAGTAAGTTACTACTGGCCAGCGTGGTATAGTAGGCCAAAACCTCCTTTCTAAGGAGAGGCCTATATCCAGCAATGGAGTGTTAAAGGCTGTTGTTGATGATGATCACTAAAGATTTATGTATTTTTTACTTATTTCAAACGTGGCCTTTAATTAAGTGAAGTTTTAGTATTTGGATGTTATGTTAGTTACTTTATTAACAATGAAGTATACGATACCGATGGAGAGGTCATTGTCACTTGCGCGCCTACCGATTGCAGCGTGTCTACAAATTGCGAGTTCTTGAGACAACTTTGTGATGCTAATTACTCAATATTTTTGTACCAGGTAATACTAAACTAAAATGCGGGTTTCTTTTCTAAATTTTACTAAAGATTCTTCTGTGTTAATATGGGCGGCAACTACAATTTCACGGTGTATATACAACACGGCAGCTAGTGCATGTGATACCACCAAAGAATGGACTGTGAGCGAAGCAAAAATAAAAATGCTTAGATGGCTCACCTCTCTGTGCTATGACTTAACAGAGAGTATTTTGTTGCCCTTATTGTAAAACATACATTATATTTACAAATATACACCTATCTCATTTACTTTATATAATATACTAGCTGAGACCCGCGGTGTTACCCGCGTTTGTTGTTATAACCGCGGGGCGAAGCTAGTCTAAAAAAAGTAGCCTAAGTTACTCCTTATGTCATCAGCTATATGCCAGTGAAAGTCCCGTCGAAATCGGTCCAGCCGTTCCAGAGATTACCCGGAACAAACAGACAGACAGACAGACAAAAATTGTAAAAAATGTTATTTTGGCATATGTACCGTGTAAACATACATATGCATTTAGTAAAAAGCGGTTGTTTTAATATTACAAACAGACACTCCAATTTTATTTATTTGTATAGATGAATAATTGCGTGCAATGGGAGAGGCCTATGCCCAGCTGTGGATTGCGATAGAATGATGATGATGATGATGATATAAGAATACTTACTCATAACTCACTTTTGCTTTGTATAAATGTCTTTTACCAAACAATAATTAACATAGTCTGTAGTTAATATTGTTTAAATGTAAGTTTGGTCTTAACGCTAAAATCTCTTATAAGATGTTGTCCGAGCTAACAGTGTGAAATTAAATGTGTAAATTGAATCGGGTACCCACAGGACAGACTTACTAGTGTGGGGCCACAGGACACTGTTGTCACGTTGTACTTCTTATCTCATCATCATCATCATCATCAACAGCTTTTAATAGTCCACTGCTGGACATAAGCCTCTCCTTAGAAAGGAGGTTTTGGCCTACTATACCACGCTGGCCAGACGGGTTGGTATAGGGTTTGTGTCAAGTTTTCCTTCTCTCTGCAGTGCTGTTGTTCTGCGTAGTTTTTTCCCTTCTTATGTGGTAATTTTTTTTTTTTTTCCTTGGTTAGTATATGCTATTGTGTGTTGTATGTCAGAGTTAGAGTTTAATTTGTATTTGTCTTGAATGTCATTTGATACATATGCATATGTGTATGTAGTAGGCTAGTATATCGTTAATATATTTTTAAAGACCTCTTAAAATTAAGTATCAGCTTTTTCGGCCAATTAAATTTGATAAAAAGAGTTGATGAAAGCTTGGATATAAAAAAATACTATTTAAAGTAATAATTCTATGCAGATGTAGCCGAAGACTTTAGGTAGTTAAGTTAAAAAGGATAGGTTATTATTTAATAGCAGTAAGACTCAGCGACAAACACAAAACACAAAATAAAAGTGCTGTACGTGTGCATATGCGCATGATAATGGTTGTGCGTGACCTTGTGCATGTACATACTTGTATGCGTGCTTGCGTGTGTGTATGTGTGTTAAATCTTACCTCCTGTAATGGGCTTTAGCCTTAGGTAGGTCTTCATCTTTTTCCTTCAACAAGTACCTTCTTCCACCAAGAAGTGAGTTGTAGAAGAATTGGTATCGGTCAACTTCTTCCATCTCGTAGTAAAAATGTTTGATATCTTCTTTCTATAGAAATGTATAACATTATTAATAGATATTCTCTAAGAAGTTAAGTTTACAAGTTTAGAAAACAGTTATTTCATCCCCGGAATATAACGATGTGACCAGACGTTGCCTCTTTAGACTACAAATCCGATGAAAACTTAATGGCACCTCGGAACATCGATGCGCAGAACACAATAATGGACAGCATCGGGACGTAAAGGAGCGCGGGGGCAGGGCGCCACATGACACGCATGTCTTTTTTGACGTGACAACGTCTTATAAATTGGTTTGCCGGGTGACACTTCAAGAAACTGCGTTACGCTCCGCTCACGTTATGCGCTCACAATGAGAGCGAGTGAGAGGCACGCGTCCCTTCCACTCGGGCATGGTTAGCCCGCCTAAGAGCGAGAGAGACAGACATAAAAAGTGAAAGGCGACATAAAATTTTGTTAATATGAAATTCAGTGCGAGATTCTTTGTATAAATTAATGTTTTAAATATAATTCTTTGTATAAATAAATGTTTTAAATTGTTACTATTATTTCATCCTTCTTCCTACTATACGAATGAATATTCACATTAAAATTATTTTACCACTCAAAGTCGTTGTCACGTAAAACTTTCGCCCGTATACCGACTTTACAGGCAACCAATTTTTTTTTTCTTTCAAAGAGAAAACTCCAGCATTAGGAATAAATCCTTAGTCCCCCACTAACATTAATTAAAACGGACACAAAGTACACTCAAACTCAGAACAACAATTTGTAGATCACACAAAGCGTTGTCCCATGTGGAGATCGAACCCACAACTCTCAACGCAGTAGGAAGCGGCGAGGTGACCGCTGAAATCACTACGCGATCCATGCAGCATATTACAAGCGCGATCTAGGTTATGCTATGCATAAATAATACCCTGGGTCCTAGAACCTATACATAACAATATCTGAACCTTTCATTCGTAGGTGAAATGCGATGTCAGCCCATAAAGTAAATAGAATCAAATGTGACTACACTCTGTATTTAAGAAAATAACCAACCTTAATACACGACCGTAGTCGCAGTAAATTCCTATTGTTAAATGTCCATTGCTTGGTGATGTAATATTCCAGGGCCTGGTTTGCTATGTAGATACGCCGTTGGACTTTGACTAACCTGGATTGGAAAAAATAGCGTTTTTAGAAATACTTATCTATGAGTATTGAGCTAGGAATACGATTTATACAATAAACTTGTAAAATGATTATCACTTTAATTCGCCTACATAATGATGCAATTGTAATAAACTATTCATCATTCCATAATTTTCAACCTTAAAGGTGGAATTTTCCCTTGAAATTTAAATTGGATCTATACCTTTCCGAAGAAAAAAAATATTCAAATCGGTATATATATAACGGAGTTCTAGAGTAACAGTCATACCAATAAATTACAGTTTTTTTTTTGTAATGCAGTTGAAAATTAAATCATATTAAGGGTAAATAAATTGCTTATGAAGGAGTCTTCAAAAAATTAAGTTTCATATAAGATTGATATACGAGAAACAGACACAAAGAACACCCAGACTCAGAACAACAATTTGTGAATCACACAAAGTGTCGTCCCACGTGGGGATCGGACCCACAACACTCAGCGTAGTACTACGTACTACGCCATCCGTGCAGTCGAAGGTTATCTTAAGTTAAGGGATAATTTTAAGTTATAAATTCATATGTACATACATTGGTTTCCGTCCAAGCAGCCAAAGGAGCGTGTCAACCAAAATCGCTGGCAATAAATGAAGGAATATTACCTGCAAATTGAATAGTAACATAATAATCATTTAATTTACATAAATAGTATAGAATAGTAGAACTAAACTTGACTGGCCTGTTGGTCTAGTGGTTAGTGACACTGACTGCCACGCCAGAGGTCGTGGGTTCGATTCCCACCCAGTACAAATAATTGTGTGACAAGTACGGTCATTTGTTCTGTGTCTGGGTGTACTTTATCTATAATATGTATGTATTTAGAAATATGTAAGTATGTTTATCAGCAGACTGGTTACCATAGTACAGGATCTGCCTAGTTTAGGATCAGACAGCCTTGTGTGAGATTTGTGAAAATACATAAACATATTAGTGTGGATGTAATGGATTGCGAAAACGCATCAGGGACGTGTAATGCAAGTAATAAAGGTCTCATCAGAAAGTTTATTTTTACTAATAAATCATTGTTTACATCTCGATGAATACTTTAATAAGAAATCGTAATAATAAGACACGAGAAGTCGCATAGACGCCACAATGACTTTGCCGCCACAATAATTACATGTAAAATGGTGAACTGCGGCATAATGAGTTGTTAAAACGCATCAGGGACGTGTAATTCAACTAATAAAGGTATAACCTATCATCGGTAAGTTAATTTTTTACCAATAAATCATTGTTTTACTAATTTACATCTTGATGAATACTTTTACTAAGATATTCCTTTATATATAAGCGTTTGTAAACAGTAACTTGTTATTTTCCGTTTTGTACAATTATTTGTATAATTGCTGCTTTGGTTCCTATTGCAGGAGATGTTGAAAAACTAGCAAAGCAATGTAATGTGAAGCATTAGCTATCGTTGTTCGTTGCGTATGTTTATAATACGGCTGCAGGCAAGGTCGCCAGTTAGTGATGTAACCGTTCCATTCATTTGAATGAAAGTACAGTTTATATCGATGTTAGTATAAAAGAATATTTTTCAGATTTTCGAACGTAAAAAAACTAAACGATATACTTATGTAGGTAAAATATTCTTAATATAAATTTTACAATAATTTCTTTGGGAATTTAATCATTTGTTTAAGTTTGCGTATTAAAGTCTATAAATGTTTAGCATGCTGATAAATGTAAATGAAATGTAGTCTTCTTAGAAAGTTAAATAATTATATTACTATTTATTATCACATAATTATAATTACGACGATATTGACGACCGGATGGCGTAGTGGTTTGTGTAACGGACTGCTATTCCAAAAGTCGCGGGTTTGATTCCCGCTCAAGTCAAACATTTGTGTGCATGAACATTTAATGTTTGATTTGGTCTGGGTGTTTATATGTATAATAAGTATGTATTTACAAAAAAGTATATATGTATTTATATCAGTTGTCTAGTAGTCATAGTACAAGCTCTGCTTAGTTTGGTACTAGATGGCGTTGTGTGAATGTACAAAAAAAATACGTTCTAGATTCCCGAAAGATCCTGATGTTAAAGAAAACATTTTAAATAAATTTCTCCATTTTACGAGTCAATAAACTCATTACTTAGAGTTGCTGATAACATCAACTACTAGATATATTTACTGATATGGTTAACTATATTTTCAAACATGGTTTTGGGAATAAGGGTATTACACTGTTGACGACTATGTAAATATAAAAAAGGAAACTACTCTGTTTATTACTTACTTCTTAATAATTTATTTCTGTATTAATATTTTTTCTTTTATTTTATTTAAGACAAAGCCTTAGGAATATATCCTGTGTTGCGGTGGAGTTTACAAACATACATGAAACGGACACAAAGAACACCCAGACTCAGAACAACAATTTGTGGATCAGACAAAGTGTTGTCCCATGTGGGGATCGGACCCACAACACCCAGCCAGTAGTGAGCGGCGTGGCGCTCGCTTAAACCACTACGTCATCCACGCAGACACTATAAATAAATCCATATATAAATATAAATCTAATTGTTACGTCTTTTACGTAACAATCAGATTATTTGTTCAGACTATTTTAGTTGACTATTTGTTCAGTAGAAACTTTTCATTTCAATTTTTTGTTCCTGTGAGTTTTAGTGAATTTTTTTATATTTTTCAATCATCAGATTTTGTTTAATAATAATAATATTTTGGACATCTGAGACAACGCCATCTAATTTCAAAGTAAGCAGAGCTTGTATTACGAAAAATAGATTGGCTAATAGAATACTCAAATACTTTTTTGAAAATACATGCATATTATACATCGAAAACACCTAAACTCCGAAACACAAATTATTATTATAATAGGTACTATACATTTATAAGTATCATTGCAGTTAAAATATAAAAAACACAGTATGAATATCTATGGTTTTCATAGCTACTTGTAATCCATTTTGTTTTAATGATTATAAAAAAAAATATCGACACATTCGGTAAATTTAGTCTATCCCTAGCATTGTTTACAGGGATTCTCATACATCCAAGGTGATTGTAGTCGTGCCACATAATACATTGGAGTAAAATGCAATGTAATTCCTGGACATTAGGGTCCATAATAGTTTGTGCCCTATACATTTCACCTTTTTTTGCAAGTGTGTGAGAGTCTTATACCTATTTGTTTGTATTTTGCGTATATGTTAAGATTTGACGACATCGGTTTTGGAAGTAATCGGGCTCTAATTCATTTCTAGTGTCTTATTATTACGATTTCTGTGGTTCCATCATACAATATATTTATTTTCTTGTGATATAGGGAGCAAACGATCTGGGCCTCAATTCTGCTATTTTAATATTGTATCAATAGACTGCTAATGGAATGTCGTCAGAATAGTTTTGCACTTTTCCTATTCTACTAACTTTGTAAGACCGAAAGCCGTCACGTCACACACGATGACTTGTCACTGATACAAACGTCGTCGATGTCTTTGTAAAAGTTTGGTAAACGGTACATTTTAAATTTGTAAGAAAATGATATATTTCATTTTCCAGGTATATTACTACATCGATAGTCTATTGACACTGTGAATTTATGTTAGTAGAATACTGATATTTTGACCGACATCAGTGGCGTCTCAATAGCGTGTCAACGGAATGACAGTGGCTTGGCGTTAACATAACATAGCAGAATTGAGGCCTACATGTCACCGGATGGTAAGTGACTACGTGAATAATAAAAAGGAAGCAAAAACAGAACTTCTTAACACCGGTTTTTTGTGAAGCAGTGGTATGACTCCGGTGTAGCTGGCCCGTACATACATGCTACAACGGGAGTGGTCCTGTTAAATTACCTTAACATAGTTAATAGTCTTCGAAGTGGTAATATCGCCTCCTACATGCCAGAGCATGTCATTGAGGGGCATGGAGGCATAGATCTCCAGTCCCATGTTCACCAGCTCCCCCATAGTGATGGTATTTGTTTGGCCGGCGCAGCAATTGTAGATTGCAACATCATCTGTTGGTTCTAACCTGGATGTACAGGATAAAAGATTAAATTATTTTTTAATAAAGCTAGCTTTGACCTAAGTAGCCTATGTCACTCGCTGATAATGTAGCTTTCGATTGGTAAAATATTTTTTTAATCGGTTTAGTGATTTAGGCGGGAAGGCGTAACAAACAAACTCACTTTCACATCTTCTATACAAATAAATAAAATTGGAGTGTCTGTTAAATATTAAAATAACCGCTTTTTACTAAATGCAAATGTACATATGTTTACACGGTACATATGCCAAAATAACATTTTTTATAATTTTTGTCTGTCTGTCTGTCTATTTGTTCCGGGTAATCTCTGGAATGGCTGGACCGATTTCGATAGGTCTTTCACTGGCAGATAGCTGATGATATAAGGAGTAACTTAGGCTACTTTTTTAGACGGTTATAACAACAAACGCGGGTAGCACCGCGGGTCTCAGCTAGTTAATAATATAAGCATGGTATGTCACACACGGCCGTCTGATCCCAAAATAGGCAGAGCCTGAACTGTGGTAACCAGACTGCTGATAAATATACTTAAATAGTTCTAAATACATACATATTATTATAAATTAATTACAACCAGACACAAAACAAAATGATCGTGCTCTTCACACAAAATTGGTCCTGGTTGGGAATCGAACCCGTCTCCGGCTTAGCAGTCAGGCTCACTAACTATTAAACTAACAGGCCTGTAATTTTGGAAAGGTTTCGTTTTATTTTGTTCTGGGTTCTGTACTAAAGCTATTCGTGTGGTGACGGATTTAGAATACAGAGTGTCACCACCCCTATTCATCCCGTGGGTGTCGTAAGAGCCGACTAAGGGAGCAAACTACGCAGGACAACAGCACTGCAGAGAGAAGGAAACCTTGAAACAAACCCAATACCGACCCGTCTGGCCAGCATGGTATAGTAGGCCAAAACCTCCTTTCTAAGGAGAGGTCTATGTCCATCAGTGGATTAGTAAAGGCTGTTGATGTGATGACTAAAGCCGTTCTAAGGTTTGGTAAGGTCTGGTAGGGAACAGGAAAGGAGCTTCAGCAATAAATCTCACATCATTTATGTGTCTACATAGAGTGTCGTACTACTAAACAATTAAAATCAATTTAATTATGGTAATGTGAGTGCAAATTAATAGAACATAGCTAACACACACAGTTACAGTGAAAATAAATTTAGCGGCCAACTGTTGGACACTTTTTTTTTGTCAATGCTATCACATGCTTAATTGTCTCTAGATCTAAATAAATTTAGTGGCTAACAGTTGGACACTGTTTTTCGATGCTTTTTACAGCTTCAACAGTCTGTTTAGATATATCAATGGACTAAGAATGAAACCTACTTTTTGGTTCCCCTCAACCATCCAGCCACCATCATACTCTTGATGGAGATATCCACGGGTATGTAGTCAGCTATGAGGTCTGGGTCACTGTATATGGATCTCATTATACCTGAAAATAATAACGATGTTTATTTTTTCTTTCTCTTTTTATTTTTTTTACTTTATACATTTTTTTTAAAGAGGAATATATCCTGTGTATCTTGAGACTTTACCAACATACATTACACAAAGAACACCCAGACTCAGAACAACAATTTTTGAATCACACAAACTGTTGTCCCGTGTGGGGATCGGACCAACAACACTCATCGCAATAGGAAGCGGCTAGGTGACCGCTTCAACATCTACGGCGTAGTACTTACAGTAGTGGCGTAGATTCTACGCCATCCGTGCAGTCAGATAACGTAACTGCACTGTAAGTACGGCAACGGTAACGTTACTATAATTAGATAGTACTGATCTAATTTCCCCATTAATTAAACTAAGGTGAGCACTGAAAAACAGTACTGAGGTGGCATCTATTCACCGCGGTGTTCAATGAGGGTCCACCAATTTTCTCTCTATTCAAGGTTTTTTATAGTACATAGGTTGATAAGTATTAGTTGATAAGTATTAGTTGATAAGTATTAGTTGATAAGTATTAGTTGATAAGTATTAGTTGATAAGTATTAGTTGATAAGTATTAGTTGATAAGTATTAGTTCATAAGTATTAGTTGATAAGTATTAGTTGATAAGTATTAGTTGATAAGTATTAGTTGATAAGTATTAGTTGATAAGTATTAGTTAATAAGTATTAGTTGATAAGTATTAGTTGATAAGTATTAGTTGATAGAGTATTAGTTGATAAGTATTAGTTGATAAGTATTAGTTGATAAGTATTAGTTGATAAGTAATAATTATTATAAATAACATTTCATAGACGCGTGGTTGGATACGTGGCACATTGACGTGTCATGTCATTTCTGTCAGGTATGAAAGATTGACACATTGAAAAACGTTGCCTTGTAGACGTGTTTATCAAACCTTACTTGATTTTTAGTTTCTTTGTGTATGTTGTTATTTAACTTTTGTTTTTTTTTTTTGTATATTGTGCTTTATGTTTTTTTTAATGGTATAAGGGAGCAAACAAGCAGACGGGTCACCTTATAGTAAGCCACTACCGCCACCCATGGACACCTGCAACTCAAAAGTCACAAGTGCGTTGCTGCCCTTGGAGTCCCTCCCGCTCGAGTCAGCATGAGGAGGGGCTTGGTAATAATATAATATTCTATTCTATTATAGTGATGGTCTTCGAATTTTACCTTTTCCACTGGCTACCAGTAGTCCCACAGGTCCATTGAAGTTCTCAATCCACCCAGGCATCGGTTCATCTACGCTTGATATAACTGGAAATTAGAAATTGTCATGGTTATTAGTCATATTGGAGCATTTGAAGAGAAGAAGACCACAAGAATAAACCCTAAAATTTTTTGTAACAAAGTGTTCACATTCAGAATTATATTTTAAATTCGAAAGTGCGTTTGTATGTTACGATTTCAGGCCTAAACCACTGAACTGATTTTTAAAATCCTTTACCAATGGAAAGCTACATTATCAGCGAGTCACATAGGCTACTTTTTACCGCGATAACCGACATACACGCGGGCAGAGTCGGGGGCAAAAGCTAGCCTGTTGGTCTAGTGGTTAGTGACCCTGACTGGTAAGTTGGAGGTCGTTGGTGCGATTCACACCCAGGACAAATAATTGTGTAACGAATCCGAAGATAGCTGGCAGGAGCTGGAGGAGGAGCAATGGGATATATATCCAGTAGTGGACTGTAATAGGCTGATGATTAATCCGATAATTTGTTCTGTGTGAGGGTGTAATTTATCTATAATATTTATGTATTTAAAAATATATAAGTATGTTTATCAGCAGTCTGGTTAAAATAGTACAGGCTCGGCCTAGTTTGGGATCAGACGGCCGTGTGTGAGATGTGTGAAGTTATTATTGTTTTTATACTTCAAAGTCACTTATCAAAGACCTCCTACATCGAGCAAAAAGAGTTCTACCGATGATCAGTAGACATACAACTGCACAACACCAAGTTTTTAGCCACGGCACGTTCTTGATCACTCCGCTTGGTCGGAAGATCCTCTCTTTGTGTTGAAAACACATAGAAATCATTGAGAAAAGGAAACCCACCATTAGCCCTAGCTGCTTAATCTTTAAATGACTACCACGGACTTACTAGTTATACCTAACTCCCAATGTCTAATCCATCTCTATACTGATATTATAAAAGCGAAAGTGTGTCTCTCTGTCTGTTATCTCTTCAAACTTAAATCGCTCAACCGATTTAGATGAAATTTGGTATACAGATAATTTGAGTCCGGGAAAAGACATAGGATAGTTTTTATCCCAGAAATCATCCTTTAAGGGGGTGAAAAGAGGGATAGAAGTTTGAATGGAGAATCAATAACCGATTTAGATGAAATATGGTATGGAGATATTTCGATTATTGAGGCTACTTTTTACCGCCATAATTACATACAAATCAAAAGCTAGTTCGCAATATTTCGCATTCGCTTATTTGATGAACCATTTAAAAAGATGATGAAAACGACCGAACCGATACGACCTTCAAGAAAAGAGCGTACTCCTTCCTAAAAGGCCGACAACGCGTTTGTGACTCCTGAGTTGCAGACGTTTATGGGCGGCGATAGTCACTTTCCATCAGCTGACCCGTCTGCTTGTCTGCCCTCTCTAACATAAAAAAAAACAAGTTTCCTCACCTATGGAAGGTCTGATGATGACAATAGGTAGTTGTCCCCTACATTCGTAAACAACGTGTTCTGCTAACTGTTTCGTGAACGCATAAGTGTTTGGAACTTCACCAAGGTATCTGAAAAGATAAATATTTCGCTACAATGATGCTTCACATAGACGAAACGAAAGGAGTTAAAAAAAAAGAAAAAAAACATCCTATCATCCACCACCTATCATTCGTATGGTGACGGATTAAGAATACGGAGTATCAACACCCCTATTCATGTCGTGGGTGTCGTAAGAGTTGCAAACTGCGCAGGACAACAGCACTGCAAATACCAACACTGGCTGGTCTGGCTAGCGTGGTATAGTAGGCCAAAACCTCCTTTCTAAGAAGAGGCCTATGTCCAGCATTGGACTATTAAAGGATGATGATGGAGAAATCGATCGTTTAGGTGTTTAGTATCATTATTATCAAACAAAAGTTGATTTTTAATAGGGTAGGTTCCTAGGTTTAAAATAAATTATCTTAGCTGAATTATTAAATGTGAAATCTTAAAGTACGGACCGAATTGATTTCAAAATTCAACGTTAAATATAAATGATTATCCAATGAAATGACGTCACGCCTTAGTATTTTATTCAAAAATGTACTGCTTCTTTCATTTTGACGTTAAATAAAAAGACACTGGTATGAATTGACTCCATCGACCTGACCAGAAAATGTAATAATGTGACCGACCATTTCATGAAATTGTCATTTGAAATTGGTCAATCTTGGGAACGAGCCACGAAAAACAAATTGTGACAACCGAATGGCGTAACGGTTTGTGTGACAGACTGCTATTCCAAAGGTCGCGGGTTCGATTCCCGCTCAAGTCAAACATTTGTGTGCATGAACTTTTAATGTTTGATTGGCATATGTGCAATGTACAATATGCATGTATTTACAAAAATATGTATGTATATATGTATTGATATCAGTTGTTTAGTATCCATAGTACAAGCTCTGCTTAGTTTGGGACTAGATGGCGTTGTGTCAATTTGGTAGGATATTATTATTATTTGCAATGATCTACTTACTTTGGAGTAAGAATTTTGAGGGTATGTTCATCAACCTTTTCACACACTTCCAGCGTATCTTTCACGTCTGCGTGGGGCGGGTACATAATTTCTTCTATGGTCTCCCTGTTGGTATTTGAGTAGGAAGTAGACACGTGCACAAACACCTGAAAAAGACAACAAATAGTGATTTAAATGTAAAATAGTTCTATGGAGAAAAAGGGTCAGGACTGAGAGAAAAGACCCTTTAAAAAGGATAGTTATTTATTTATTATTTATTTATTTTTTTTATTTATTTTCTTTAAAAACAACTATTTTTACAGGCTTAGCCCAATGCAATAGTGTTATACCACCTACTTATTTATTATAAGAAATAATTCTTAATGCTGTTATTGTGAATTCACTCAGTGAGCAATAAAATAAATCTACTTCGTCCGCAATTATATTCAGAGTACGTAGTGCGCGCGTCAGCGGTGCTTCTCTCTGCAGGTTGGTGCGCCCGAATACCCACATTTAAAAACATAAAAAAATGAAAACGTTAAAATGTTAAAATGAATACCCACATTTGTATTGAACAATAATCATGTAACAGACGGGCGGCAGTCTGATCTTAAACTAGACAGACCCTGTACTGTGGTAACCAGACCTATAATAACCACTACTACCTAAATATTTCTAAATACACACATATAATGGATAAATCGTCCGTTTGGTGACGGATTAAAATACAGAGTGTCACCACCCCTATTCATCCTGTGGGTGTTGTAAGAGGCGACTAAGGGAGCAAACTACGCAGGACAACAACACTGCAGAGAGAAGGAAAACTTGACACAAACCCTATACCAACCCGTCTGGCCAGCGTGGTGTAGTAGGCCAAAACCTCCTTTCTAAGGAGAGGCCTATGTCCAGCAGTGGACTAGTAATGGCTGTTGATGATGATGATAATGGATAAATAATCGTGGAACAACGTTATATGATCCACAAATTCTTGCTCTGAGTCTGAATGTTCTTTGTATGTTTGTAAAGTCCCCCAGGACTCAGGATATATTCGTAGTGCGGGAGTTGTCTTTTTAAATGAAAAAAAAATCGGCATTATAGCATCTGGAGGGGGGCAAGTTCCACCCTTACTCCAACGTGGCTATGCTCTTTTTTCATTAGAAATATGTTTTTTTATAGTTTTAATGATTTACTTACAAGGAGATTCCTCATTTCCTTGGCGAGATCAACCATTTCGATAGTACCTCGAAGGTTCATCTTCACGGCATAAGGAAGGGGATCGTCAAATCTGAAAGTTAGAAAAATTTATTTATAAATAAATAAAATTGAAATGTCTGCTTACGCGGTTATTTACCTATGCCTAAAAAAAGTTAATTTTATTTGTCTGTCTCTTTGTCCGAGTTATCTTTTAAGCGGCTATATAACGAAGCTATTTTTCTTCTCAGAAAAACCCTTTAAAATTTTGCCGGGTTTCAGCAAACACAGCATAGTGTGAAGCAACTTTTTCTCCTATTTCTTATGGAGAGACTTCGAGAGCGTCAACGCACTCATGTCTCCTGTGTTGCAGGTGTCTATTGGCGGGGGTAGTCACTACCATCCATACCACCCATACCACCCATACCATCCATACCATCCATACCACCCATGCCACCCATACCACCCATACCACCCATACAACCCATACCACCCATACCACCCATACCATCCATACCAACCATACCATCCATACCATCCATACCATACCATCAGATGACACATCCACTCGTTTGTCCAACAACATAACACATCATCATCATCATCAGCCTTTAATAGTCCTCTGTTGGACATAGGCCTCTCCTTAGAAAGGAGGTTTCGGCCTACTATACCACGCTGGCCAGACGGGTCGGTGTAGGGTTTGTGTCAAGTTTTCCTTCTTTTTGCAGTGCTGGTGTGCTGCGTTGTTTTGTGCCCTTTGTCGGCTCTTACGACACCCACGGGATGAATTGAGGTAGTGACATTCCGTATTCAATCAAACACAATCTTATCTGTCCCCAATAGCAAAAATAAATTTACTCACCTTACGCTGGCTGCTACATGAAATACAATATTGACGCGGTTGATGAGTAAAGTCCGGTCTTCATCTGACAATCCTGAAAACACCAACAAAATTCTCATCTTTACATAACTTTGCCGTGGAAGAGCCGATCCCCCCTCTCCCTTTTGTAGGGGCAACCGGGCAACGCACTTGTAATTCTTTAGTTAAAGCTTCCGTCGACGATAGTCCGTTACCATCATCAGTGTCGACAACTTTCGACGCTGTGCGCAGAGGTGAACTCGCCGTCGAGAAGCCATGACATCGACCGAGGTCACAACGGTGTTTTAAAAAGTATTCTCGTAGTAAAATCTTGAATAAGGTATAACGATGGCTTTGTGGGTTTTAATGAAATACATTTAATGATGATTCCCTATGCCATGTGTACCTACACGCTTTAATAAGTCTGTGAACAAACAAAACGTCAAGAAAACCGAAATCAAGATAAATCAAAACAAACACTACGCTTTTATTATAACATTTCTTATCTTTCCATACATAGCATTCGTACGGCGGACACGCGTCGGTTGTCGGTCGCACACGACCTACGGTTAGAGAAAGAGTTCCTTCCTAGGGTACCTGGTTCCCCGTCAACTGGTACCCGAGACGGCGTGCGGTTTTTGGTCGGTTCGAGTCCGACATAACCACCGGTGGGTGGTATCCGAGGGAAAGGGTAAATTCAAGATAGTAATTAGTGTAGCCGCTTTCAGGGTAAATCCAAGATTCTGCGAGCAAGTTATGCTTTTAAAGGAAATGGCGGAGCGGGATCAGGAGAGGTTAAGAACTCTCCCGGAGGCGCCAGGCATCGTAACGGGCCAGGTACCGCAGAAGACTCAGGCGCCGGAGGTCGCAAAATGACCTCCGTCCTCCATAAGCCTGGGGGTGGTAGGTGAGGCCATCTGTCACCAGGCGGTACAATCTTAGTCGACAATCCTTGGAATGTTACGAAAATAATGAAACCAAATACAATGGTTTTTTATTTGTTCTAAAATTTTAACAACATTACGTACACTTCATTTAGGCGTATAATACGTGTGTACTTCGCCAGTCGATACTTATAGATGTCGTTACTTTCGGTATAATCCGCATAAAACATAAAGTGAGTTGTTTTAGTTTTTATTATCCCGGAACGTATATCACTATTTTCTGGTATCATTATAAAATGACTTTTGGAAATAAAATGTTGCCATTATTTTTTTTAAACATTGAGTTGTTAGTTATTTTGTATGATAAAATTGATAAATGTAGACTTATATTAAAATTTTTGAAAACTTTAAAAACAATTTAGCACTTTAATACACACGATTCTAAGAAATCCTAACTTAGTGCCTGTATCATTTCATTATTGCCATTGTTTTGGTACTTTTCATCAGCGTTAATGCAGCAACATTTGCAACAGCTGTCGTTATGAATGTTGTCCGTCAACATGACATTCATACCGGCATTTTTTTGGTGGTTGAATGTTTACTTACTTGGAACTATTAACAATTATTCTCTGATATCTTTATTAATGCGTGAGTTGAGCCTAGGTTCTTCTGATCTTTGTTATCCTTGTGTGTTGTTTTTGAGTAGTATTGAGGTAGAGACACTTATTTTTAACGCTTTATTTTTGTGTTGCAATGTCTGTTAAACGTTGTTGTCTTGAAAAGAAGAAAATAAACGTTTTTTCATACATTGTTTTATTTCACAAAGTTCTAATTGCATACGTATATTTGTACATAATATAAACAATACTGTATACAATAAGTATTACCTATATTATAGATATGAAGGTATAAATATATCCTTTCAAATGTTGAGTAAGAGAAAAGTTGTTGCTCGCTCCTAACAGATGGCGTTGTTTTGTAATTTCCTCCAAAAGCGATTGAGATATACCTCTATTTCAGTATATTACAATGTACTCTGTGTCTGTCACCCTAGCAGAAGAAGGCCGGGGTGGTGGCAAGACGTGCTGCGGAGCGCACGCGCCCTTTCCGGAACATAGGGGTTCCCACACAGGAGGGGGTCATTTATACGCCTTAGATGGCCCGACGTACGTATCAGGGGATATCAGGGATTTCCTTCCTAGGGTACACCTGGTTCTCCGGCAACTAGTATCCGAGATGGCATGCGGTTTTTAGTCGGCTCGAGTCCGACATAACCACCGTGGGGTGCTATCCGAGGGAATGGGTCTATCCAAGAATACCACAAATCACCACTTCCGTTACATGAAACACAGGTATTTCCGAGAATCACATTTATCAGAAAGAATCATTTTCTTATAAGTACTCCTTTGCAATCAAACCATACCTCGAATTTAAATCGATGAGCACCATCTAGTGAGCCACAAAATATATATTACTAAACTCAAAGGTATGAACAAATTGCTATATCGCATTAACCCATGAGCGCCATCTAGTATCAAACGGGATAACAAAAAATCTAATTATATATTTAAAAAAAATTGTGTTTATGTTTCCTTAACAATTAGTTTACTCACCAAGCCCAGGTTCTGTTACATCTCCAGCGACGACAAAAACCTTGGATTCGAAAAGACCAGGTTTCTCCTTTTTCAGTCTTGCAAAGCACTGAAACAATCGACAAGTTTCTTTAATAGACTAGAGTTCCACGGAGATGAAGCGCCCACTTACGTAACGTGATCTTCTAGAATATAACATCTATAGACCTATTGCGTGGGGCAGACGGTTCACTTTTGATTGTAACTGCGAAATTTTCAGATAGTAATTTTTAACATGCTGTATTGAAACACTCCGTCCAGTCCGTGTGGTGACGGATTAAGAATACAGATTGTCACCACCCCTATTCATCCCGTGGGTGTTGTAAGGGTCAACTAAGGGAAAAAACTACGCAGAACAACAACACTGCAGAGAGAAGGAAAACTTGACACAAACCCTATGCCAACCCGTCTGGCCAGCTTGGTATAGTAGGCCAAAACCTCCTTTCTAAGGAGAGGCTTATGTCCAGCAGTGGACTATTAAAGGCTGTTGATGATGATGATTGAAACACTACAAATATACAGACAACCGGCGGCGGGAGTTACTGTGTGACCCGCATACTCTTTCGCCCCCTATGCCACAAAAAAATAGGATCACTTTGTTTTCTGTCTATCTGTCTATGTGTCTATATCATCAACAGCCTATAATAATCCACTGCTAGACATAAAAATTGTTTCTTGATTATTCACCGAGTGAATGAGTTTATTGGAGTGGCCTCCATAATCATCTCATACGTGCGGTGCCGTACTTTGAAAAATAAAACAGTATTTTTTAGGGGTAGTATTTGAATGAGGGGTGGAACGAGGACACTGGTCACCTGATGGTAAGTGACTGTCGCTGACCATGGATCCCTGCAACTCAAGAGTCACAAATTCATTGCCACCCTTTTAGGTCCTCCCTCCAGAATCAGGAGAAGAGGGAGGGAACACTCACTCGGTGAAGAATTAAGAAACAATTATTTAACAGTGGTTTTCTGTGATACCGTGCTATCACTATCACTATCGCGAGCCTCGAGATTTCTTTTTTCCTTCTGAGGAACGGAACCTTAAAAGCGTAATGCGTAATTCATTTTATTCTGAGATATTCGTGTGATCTTTGACATTTAAACATTCTACTTTAACATATAATGGTTATTCCATTTCCTAATATGTTACAAAGATGTCAGTGTTCTCAATTTATTTACATTGTTTGCAAATACTTAAATGCACTTTGGACTTGGTTGTAATATCAAATAACGCAATAAATCCCTGAAAAACCTTTAACCGCGAGAGTCACGCCGCAGCACATAATATGGTTAAAACAATGGTGCGTAATTTCAGTCTGCAAAAAGCAACCAGATGACTCTTGGTATTTGAATTACTGAGGTAATAGCTAAACTATTTTGTTCAGAGCCTCACAAAACCAAAATGGACGAAATCGGCGATAAAGGGAGTCATTTTTTTTATTTTTTTTAACACTTTATGCACAAGTGTGGGTTTGTACAAGGGCGGACTTAATGCCGCAGGCACTTCCTCCCAGCCTACCTTAGGGTGGTGCTGAAATGTGTGACTAGATGCACTAGAGATTGATATGTAAAGTAAGATAAAATTATTAAGAAGTTAGACAGAAACAATGAGATAAATACATACATACATACGTACCAAATACATACACATACATAAATACTTAACTACACTCGGTTCCAAAAATTACGGGTCAGTCACAAAAATTGAAATACCTCCAGAACTGTAAAAGTTAGATCAATGAAATAAAAAACAGAATAAAGACATTTTAGTTGCGCTTCTAATAGCATATTATTTAAACTGGTTGATGAAAAAAACTTCATTAGAAAAACAAAATTTAAAAAAATGACTATTTTTAAAAACAAAATTTTTGTTTCATTTCATTATGGATGCTTTCCATTTCTATTCTGTCACAAAAAAAAATATCGTGAACATCTTCCACGTGCATAATTATTATTCTGTGAGGTGAAGCATGGCAGTCACGCTAGAGGAATGTACCAGAATCCTAACTTTTTTGGAACTTGGGCGGAGCCAGCGTGAAACAGCCAGAAACATTGGTGTATCTTTGTCGACTGTTCAGCGGGTAGTCCAGCGGTACCAAGAGACCGGATCACACCTTAGAAGACCAGGAAATGGCAGACCAAGATGCACAACGGCCAGGGAAGACAGACAACTGGTAAGTCGTAAGGAGACGTCTTGTTGAAGCAAATTTGAAACCATTGAGGCCCGCAAATGGCCCCAAACTGGAACGGGGACCTCGAATTGCAAGACAGAGATACGTGCGCGAGCACCTAAACTGGACACTAGACGATTGGTCTAGGGTAATGTTCACGGACGAGTATAAATTTATGCTTTATAAGCATGATGGTAGGCAGTTGGTGTACAGAAGACCAGGGGAGCGCTTCCATCAAGCGTGTGTGGAGGAAAAAGTGGCGTACGGTGGAGGCTCCGTATAAGTTTGGGCTGGCATTTCTACTGAGGCCCGCACCGAGCTGGTACTCATTCAAAATGGAACTCTAAATGCAGAGAGGTACGTGGAAGAGATCCTCAATGAACATGTAGGTCCTTTCATGGCCAGGATGGACCGGCATGGCATATTAATGCATGATAATGCGCGTCCCCATACCGCCAGAATTGTACATGACTACCTTGAAGAGGTCGGTATCGAACTCATGCAGTGGCCAGCGCGAAGCCCGGACTTAAACCCCATCGAGCACGCCTGGGACGAGCTTCAGAGATACGTGAAAGGTCGAAACCCCCCCGCAATCACGCTTCCCGAGCTCAAACAAGCACTGGTGGAGGAATGGGAAGGTATTCCTCAGCACCGGCTCCGAAATTTGGTATACAGCATGCCTAATCGCCTGGAAACTGTCAGAAGAGCTCGTGGAGGCAATACAAAGTATTAAATGAAGAAAGTGATGAAAAACAGCAAAAAAACAATCATAAAAAAATGTAATCTTAAGAAAAATATGACTACTTTAGTTTTTTTTTTTATTTAGAGATAAGTTAAGAGTTAGAGAGTTTAGATTTAAGTTTTATTTTATTTTTTATCTGTAAAATTAAATTCTCAATTGAACAGTCTTCGTTTCATTAGGATGGCATACGTAGTTCGGGAGATATTCGGGTCTATGTGACTGACCCGTTATTTTTGGAACCGAGTTTAGTTACAAACATACATAAACCTACATATTGATAATATATAAAACTTTAGGTTGTAATGAATCTGCTAGGGTGTCCAAAATGCGAGCTCGAGCTTTCAACTTGAATAAGAGGCGGCAGGGTGCTATCCTGATTTAAAGAGGGAGAGCGCTCCAGAGGAGCAGGGATTGGATTAGGAACGAGAAGTGGACACAAGCGTAAGTATGAGTGTTGCATAGCAGAAGAGGATTGTTGGAACACAGGTATTGGGATGTAAAAATGTTTTGAAACCGAATGGAAAGACGGTAACGTAGAAGTATATATAGGTACTCACTATTGTTTAAAAAAATTGTCATCCGAAACGATTACGCGAAAGGGTTTACAAAAGAAGCGCCTTTGAGGAAAACGAAACTAAACTGTGTCAGGATATTAGAAGGCACTAACTTCCTAATAACGACTTCCATAGATGTTCATGACAGCCCGAACCACCGACGGAGGCACGGAGCAAGGGAAATAATTACGCACATTACTTCGAAAAGTCATAGGTGAGCGACCAGGACTTGTACCCGAGACCCTCTGTATGGCAGTCTATTGGTCTCGCCACTGGGCTGTCACTGCTATTGCACGAGCAATCTTTATTAAAGTTAATAGCAAATACAATTAAACTACGCAGGTAACATAAAACTAAGGAAAAAAATTATTAAAATAAAATGAAAGAAGTGTCAAGGAAACATTTCATTGAATAGAATTATTCCATTAAAGTGTGAATTACGTATTTTTTATCTATTGTATACTTAAAAATAAATAAAGCCGTGTGGTGTCGTGGGACACCCGATAGGAACGAAGTTGTGACGATCGAGTAAAACTGATTCGACACGATTTTAATTACAACGCCATCTATGAAAGCGGCTATTACCTACATATTTTTCATCATCACATCACATCAACAGCGTTTAATAGTCCACTGCTGGACATAGGCCTCTCCTTAGAAAGAAGGTTTTGGTCTACTATACCACGCTGGCCAGACGGGTTGGTATAGGGTTTGTGTCTATCATGGGGTGCCAAAGTACCTGAGGCGGCTAGTGGCAGACTATTTAGAGGAGCGTACCGTCGTGTACGAGGACCGAGATGGTAATTCGAGGTGTCGGCCCATGTCGTGCGGTGTTCCACAGGGGTCTATTCTCGGACCCCTCTTGTGGAACATAGGGTACGACTGGGCCCTTCGAGCCGATTTCCCCCCTGGGCTGTGACAGCCCGGGGGGCGAACTTCCAAGAGGCGGCGCGCCTGGCCACAAAGGGAGTCTCCCTGGTGGTCGGGCGCATTGAGGCGCTGGACTTACGGGTGGCCCTAGATAAGACAGAGGCTCTCTTATTTCATGGGCCCCGTCGTGGTCCACCCCCTGGCGCCTCAATCGTGGTCAACTCGGTCCTCGTACCGGTTTGGGCCCAGATGAAATATCTGGGCCTGATCCTCGACGGGAGGTGGCTCTTCGACGAGCACTTCCGACAGCTTGCTCCAAAGCTGGTCGGCGCTGCGTCTGCCCTAGGGCGACTCTTGCCCAATTTGGGTGGACCCAGCGTCGCGACAAGACGGCTGTACACGGGGGTTGTCCGGTCAATGGCACTATATGGTGCACCGGTGTGGGCAGCGGCTCTGACCGCCCAGAATAGGGCACGCCTCTGGCGCCCTCAGAGGGTAATGGCGGTCAGAGCCATACGCGGTTACCGCACCGTTTCGACGGAGGTGGCTTGCGCGTTGGCCGGAACTCCCCCGTGGGATTTGGAGGCGGAAGTGCTCGCCGAAGTTTATCGGCGAGTGGCTGACTCCCGGGCGGAGAGCGGATTTCGCCCTCCGCCCGAAGACGTGCGCGAGTGGCGCGAAGCCGCTCGCCGAGCCACGATGGCTCGTTGGTCGTTCCGGCTGGAGACTCCACGCGCTGGCTTCGCCGCCGTGGAGGCTCTCCAGCCGGTCATGGGCATGGCCGAGTGGGCAGGGCGGCAGCACGGGACCCTTACCTTCCGGCTGACGCAGGTGCTTTCCGGGCACAGTTGCTTCGGAAAGTACCTGCACTCGGTCGCTAGGAGGGAACTGAGTCCCGCCTGCCACCACTGCGACTGCAGTGAGGACTCGGCCCAGCACACGCTGGCGGTCGGCCCCGCATAGGCGACGCAGCGCCGGGCCCTCACTGCAGTCATCGGAGTGGATCTCTCGCTACCGGCCGTAGTACGCTCCATGGTCGGTAGCGACAGTTGTTTTACCGCGGTCGCAACCCTCTGCGAGGAATTAATCTCGCAGAAGGAGGCGGCGGAGAAGGCCCGGGAGGACGACCTCCACTCGGACCCGATCCGCCGCCGGCGAACCGGGCGGCGGAGGCGCGCTCACCTGCGCCTCATGCCGCCCTGAGTGTGGCCGCGGGTGGACGGGGTGGGTTTCCCCTCCACCCGCATTAGTTTGGCCAGCCGCGAGGGGGTGGCGTCCGCGTGTGCCGGACGTCGCCTAAAGAGAGGAAAAATTTTTGAGACGGAGCCCGCAACAGGAGCGGGCCGGCGCTAGGAGGGGTCCGGATGTCTTAATAACAGCTATTCCCGGATCCCTCTTGTTACAGGCGCAGAGTGGCACACCGTGGGGTTTTAGTCGGTCCGAGTCCGACACACCACCCCGTCGCAAACCCCGGCGGTCTTTTTGCAGTGCTGGTGTCCTGCGTTGTTATATTGCATTGCATATTTTTCAGTTGGTTTCTAATTAAAACAATTTATACATTGGTAAAATCTCATTGAGAAATGATTTCCTATCTATTCGATAGATGGCGCTGAATGACTGACAAGCTACAATTCAAAATAAATACTGAGATGAAAAGTAATGATTTCCTATCTATTAGATAGATGGCGCTGAATGACTGACATAAAAAGCCACAATTTTTTCCGTCTAGCCCCCTTTCACAACGCGCGATAAGGAACTTCGTTCCAACAATAAATATTTTTTATGCTAATTAAACCTTGACTTTGTAATACATATTAATAAACACCTAATAAAGAGTTTAATATTTTTATATAATTTTTTTAATTTTGTTTTTAAATTATGCTCTTGAAATTAATTCGGCGTAGCGGCGCAAAACACAAGGTAACAGAATGTAAGTGGGTAAGTCGGGTAAAGGGCCGGGGGCACGTGATCGTTGCAAGGTCAGTCGTGTATAGCGCTCTAACGCATTAAGTAATTTCACTGCTTTGCTATACCTACTGTTATGAACATCATTGTTATAGTTTTTGTTAAAATTATCATTTTTGGAACGAAGGTCCTTATCGCGAGTAACACGCTCTGATCGGATAGGAGCGAGACCTAAACATGTGTAACAAGACTTTTCCGACACTATAGCAAACAGCGAAAGGAACTCATTTCGACCGGGGGTCCAGAGACCCCTCACGTCGATTTTATTATCTGTATTGTTTGCGTTTGTTTTTATTGTTATACGCTATAAAATTTTCAAAATACCGAGATGAAATTCTATATTAAAAAATGCAGGCATAAAAAATATTTTTTAATGTAGGTGTATATTGTACGTATGTATAATATATAACTAAAACATCACTACAAGGGGTAAAACAATCACCTCCGTTAAACAATCTGCGTAAGCTACAGGTGTGACTTGCAGCACTTTAAAAAATATACAAAAACATAATTATTTGATACATTTGTTTAAGATACTAAATATTGCTTCCTACAACGCTAAGTGTTGTGGGTTCGATCCCCGCATGGGACAGCACTTTGTGTGATTCACAAATTGTTGTTCTGAGTCTGGGTGTTCTTTGTGTCCGTTTCATGTGTGTTTGTAAAGTCTTTTTCGTTATTTTATTTATTACTAGCGCAGAAGATGTCTTTTACAAAAAAAAACTGCATTTAATAAATTGAATTTTATTTCTACCTATTTGTTTATAGCGTAATAATGCACGCAAACAGTATATATAATGTACATTTGTTTGCAAGTGTAACTGCGCAACATTCTTTTTGCAGCCAACTTCGCTGACGCAGAGTTATTTGGTACGTAGTAGTGGTATACTCCTTTTGAAACAAAATTTTGCGCACGAAACATATCGTTTTAGGAATACTGAATATAGAATTAGTGCAGAAAGCTGACGCACACACAGCCGCCAATTCCTTCCTTCCTTTTGCTTTTTTGAAGTCATTTAAAATAATTCTTGATAATAAAATATTTAGTGGTTGAAAAAGTAAAGATGCTTACATCAGATGAATATAACGCCGCCAGTCTGTCTTCTGATTTGACACCTTTCTTGTTTCTTATGAGAAGATATATCCTGTCCAGCTCGGAGCAGGAGTAAAGCAGCTTCTCTGTGAGGACCTTGCCCATGAACCCTGGAAAAAGAAACAGTCGGTCACTATGCTGCAGGTTTGCTGTATGGTAGGGTATTCCATTACAAATAGACATCGCGATGGGGACACAATCATTAAGCTGTTATTGGAGATACCTTGGAGAGCTGTGTTACCCGCTTCTAGGTATATTGCCATGGTAGGTACTTTTAGAAGGTTAGACCTTCATATACAGGTCACCTGATGATAAGTAAGTGACTACCACTGCACATAGACACCAGAAATTCAAGAGAAAAAGAGTTGCCATCCCTTGAGACCCCACCCCCAAATTAGCAGGGAAAGGTTCGGTCTGCGATATCCTCACTCATTCAGTGAACACAACGTTTTTGTTTCTTAAGAGGCACGTCCCTAAGCAGCGCGAACAAGCACTTTCAATTAAAAAAAAAAAGATTTATTTCCTTAAATGACTCTATAAAAAAATCTCAGTTGCTTAACCGATGAGTCTTTATTCATGTGGGTGTTCAATATCGAGTTCTCACGCTTGGGGACCACAGTCTTAAGTTACAGGTGTATGGGTGTATATCTATGACTGTGGGCGGCGGTGTGCACTTAACATAAAGTAGCCAGTCCGCTCTTTAGACCCCTTTATCATAAAATTCCTAAAAATTCCTAATGTAGACAGACGCTAAGACCTATGTATTTATTATATATGTATATTCCAAAACCATTGCTTTTTTAAGCACCTTTTGTAGTTTTATATGGATAGATTTCACAATAGAAAATAGGATTCTCTATTGTTTTGTTGTTGTTTGTTTGTTTGTAGATTCGCAACCGGTTTCCACACGTTCAAAATAAGGTTTCAAGGTGGAGATACTCATTATCACAAATAAATGATTCTGATTCTGATATCATCAACAGCCTTTAGTAGTCTTCTGCTGGACATAGGCCCCTCTTTAGAAAGAAGGATTTGGCTTGCTATGCCACGCTGACAAGACGAGTGGATATAAAGCTTGTGTCAAGTTTTCCTTCTCTTTGCAGTGCTGTATTGCCCTGCGTAGTTTGCTCCCTTAGTCGATCCTTACAGCACCCCATGGGTGCTGTAATAGGGGTTGACGCTCCGTATTCTTTAATCCGTCATCACACACAAAGTTAAGATACAGGTAGACTAAAATGTTGGTCAAAACAAGTTGAAAATATTGCGATAAATAATTTAACAAGTATGGAATTTGTAAAGTGAGTATAATAATGTTGAATCAACATTTATTCTTTAAACAAATTTGACCTCAATTCCTAATAGTGTAATTTTCCATACTTCGTTCCTCCGTAATACCGTAATACCTACTGTCTATGTCGTCAAATTATCATATAACTCTTATAACTCATTATGTATTTATTTATTTTAAAAATGGCTTGTTCATGTAGTGGTTGGCGGTCCTGACTGAAAAGCCTGAGGTAGTGGGTTCGACCACCCAGGGCAAATATTGTGTGACGATCATTTGTTCTGTGCCTGTCTGTAATTGATTTATAATATGTACTCGTATATATTAGGGTCCATGTGGTGACGGATTAAGAATACGGAGTGTTACCACCCCTATTCATCCCGTAGGTATCGTAAGAGCCGACTAAGGGAGCAAACTACGCAGGACAACGGCACTGCAAAGAGAAGGAAAACTTGAAACAAACCCTATTCCAACCCGTCTGGCCAGTGTGGTATAGTAGACCAAAACCTCCTTTCTAAGAAGAGGCCCATGTCTAGCAGTGGACTATTAAAGGCTGTTGATGATGATGAGGATATATTAAGGTCTGCGTAGTTTGCTCCCTTAGTCGGCTCTTACGACACCCGCGGGATGAATAGGGGTGGTGACACTTCTTATTCTTAATCCGTCACCACACGGATACATTCAGTGAAAAACTATTATTAGACATTACTAACAGACACTTATAAAAATAACCTACTAAGTGAGTCATTTATGCAAAAACATGCATAAAGTTTTTAAATAACCCGAACAAAAAAGGAACCAGTTCTCAATTCGGTCTTATTGTTTTAATTTTATGTTTGCCAACTCAAAACTCTGTTGTTACACGCTTTATATAAGCTTCACTTGTATGTTTGTTTGTATGTTTGTAACCGACTCCTTTGGGCGTGATTTTGACTGACTTTAAACGATCAGAATTCGTTCAAACTTTGTAGATATATCGAAGACCGATGACAATACAATAATTAAAAAATAAATAAAAAAAAACGAATACAAAGAACACCTAGACTCAGAATAAAAATTTGTGGATCACACGAGTGTTGTCCCATGTAGGGATCGAACCCACAACACTCAGGCGAGGTGACGGCTTAAACCAATAGACCATCCGTGCAGTAAAAGTTTGTTCTCTTTGAAACTTGAAAGGGACCGAAAAGAAAATCTACCCTCCCAAATAAAAAGAGAATTGTTCAAATCGGTTCATAAAAATCGGTTTTATGAATGTGTGGCAAGTTCCCCGGCACACAGTATATATTTCTAGTGCAGGAGTTGGCAGAGTTGTGTAACAGACTGCCATTGCAAAGGTCGCGGGTTCGATTCCCGCTCATGTCAAACATTTGTGTGCATGAACTTTTAATGTTTGATTTGGTCTGTGTGTTTCTATGTATAATATCATACATTTTACAAAAAAAAGTATTTATGTATTTATATCAGTTGTCTGGTACCCATAGTACAAGCTCTGCTTAGTTTGGGACTAGATGGCGTTGTGTGAATGTGGTAGAATATTATTTATAATTATTTCTTTGTCCAAGGTTTTAATTAACCCATTTTATGCAATCAAGAGTTATAAAGGTCGACGCATACAAAATACATTTTTGTTTGCGTAAACATGATGAATAACGTTGAAACGACCTGAGGGCTGAGTGTAAGTTTATTTCACATGTTCTCGCTCTCGACGGCGAGTGCGTTTAGCGTTGTGATTGGTGGAGATTTCAGTGCGGGCCAATCGTAGCGCTGAACGCGGCCACCGTGACGATCGAGTAGAAGTGAAATAAACTCGCACTTGACCCTCTGTTGCTGTATTGGTTACTCATAACGACTGAGACAGAGGTCGTTAGTTCGATTCTCATAAAGGAATAATAATTACGTGATGAGTATAATCTTTTGTTCAGTGTTTGTGTGTAATTTATCCATAATATATATAATACTTATATATTACTGTATTTCATGACGATTTTTGTATAATCTTATCTAAATGGCTCTAGTTTCTAATAATCATTTTATTTTATTTCTTAACCGAATTCAAAAAAGGAGGAGAATCTCATTTCGTCTGCATCTTTTATTTTAAAAGACAACTCCCGCAGAAGGAACATATCCTTTATCACGGGGGACTTTAAAAACAATCCTGAAACGACACAAAGAACACCCAGAGTCAGAACAACAATTTATGGATCACACAAAGTGCTGTCCCTTGTAGGGATTGGACCCACAACACTCAGCGCAGTAGGAAGCAGCGAGGTGACCGCTCAAACCACAACACTGTATGTGCAGTCAATCTTAAAGGCCTTTGATAAATATAACAAACATGCTCTAGCACCGCAGGCGGTTATTTTTCAAATCCTGACCGGTGTTACTAACGGACTAACTCCGTGAAAAGCAACGAAATTAGGCATTAGTGGACAGATTGTGATTTTTTCATAAGATATTATGAGTTGATGTGGACACAGTGGACAGCGCTACAATTCATAAAATATAATTTAATTATTTTTTTAAGTATTATTATTATTTTATTTATTTATTTAATGCACACTTTATATAATTAAATAATATACATATTTAAAAATATAAACAATAGTAGACCACCGACATCGGGTACAGGGACCAAGACACCGGTGGTTATTTTTTTTATATAATACTTTATACACGAATCATAATTGTATAATGGCGGACTTAATGTCACGGGCACTTTTCCCACCTTGTCTACCTTTTGGTACACTAGATATTCAGTAGTTTTTTGTTAATGAGGGAATTGTTAAAGAGAAAGTAATAGTTGAGAAAAGGGGCAGAAACAGTCGGACAAATATCTAATAAATATTCCTACTGAAATACACATATATACACAAACAATAATAATATATATAAAACTTTAAGGATAAGGTGAATCTGCTAAGATGTCTAAAACGTGAGCTCGGACTTTCGTCTTAAACGAGAAGCGACTGGGTGCTATCTTGATTTCCAGAGGGAGAGGGAGAGCGCGAGACAGATTGGATTAGGAACGAAGACTGGACACACGCTGAAGTATGAGTGGGGTATAGCAGAAGTGAATAGTTTGACGAACGCAGGGTTCTATTCTGATTGGAATGAGGATGTCAGGTAGGAAGGAGAAATGGGTGAGTTGAGAATGGAAGTGAGAGTGGCGAGGGCGTGAGCTGACGGCGCTGACGAATCGTGAGCGTGTTCAATTCGTGACGAAAGGAGTAACATGGTCGTGTTTGCGAAGGTTAAAGACGAATCGAATGCAGTTATTCAGAATTTTTTATCAGTAATTTTAACAAAAGCTTTTTTTACGGTAGGAGGCAAACCTGCAGGTCATTCTCCTAATAAAAGGTCTCAATTCAGTTCCGATCTACCTTCGATCTCACAACTGTCATAAAAGATATTTTCGTAGTAAAATAGTAAAGTATTACTAAGACTAGCAGATTACAGATTCAATTTTCGGTTACAATACGATATAATCACATTACAGACAACGTTGGATGTTTTAATGAATCACATTTATAAAGTGAATAGAAGGAAAATTTTGTCATTAAATCTTAAAAAAAATGTTATTCTGACCTTCTTGGTAAAAGAAAAAAAATTCTAGAAGTTAATAATTTATGCTCTCAGACAAAAAAGTTCCGAACACATTCAAGCTGAACAGGTTTTAAAATGGGTTCGAATTTAAAACATTGCGCTATAAATAAACTTACTTACGTAATAACTTAATTGAATACAATCGACTGCAAAAGTCGCATGTTCAATTCCCGCTCAAGTCTTACATTCGTGTGCATGAACATTTTTACACGCTTTATATTAGCTTCACTTGTATGTTTGTTTGTATGTTTGTTTGTATGTATGTTTGTAACCAACTCCTTTGGGCGTGATTTTGACTGACTTTAAACGGTCAGAATTCGTTCAAACTTTGTAGATATATCGAGGACCGATGACAAAAAGCGTTGGGTGCCTGTTGTCAATAGTAAAAAGCACACCACGCTTTTTTTCAATTTTTTTTTTTTTAGTTTGGTTTTCTATAGAAAGCATCTTTTAGTTTTTTTTTTTTTTTTTTTTTAATTAGTGTATTGTCATCGGTCCAAAACATCAGGATGCTTTTGGAGGAGTTCAAACACGTCAGCACGGAGGCGGTGAACCTTTCGATGACTGATGCGTAAAGTACAACGACATTACGTAAAGAAAATTCTTTGTATTCCTATTAAGCAAAGGCACACAAAAGCATAGATTTATTATCATATTTAGAAACCCGTTCACCCTTGCTAAGAAGATGCCTATGTCCAGCAGTGGACTGTTAAAGGTAGTTGATTATGACGTTGAACGTTCACGTAGTAGAAGTGTGCAAAGTAAAATACAGGTTCCTCCATGTACTTTGACCTGTCATGGTACACGAACCTATACATATATACAGCTCAGGTTATACTGGACAATTAAATAAGACAAGATATTCTCAGTGGTCAAAAATGCACACCAGGGACTTCCTTTCTAGGGTATACCTGGTTCCCCGGCTATTAATACCCGAGACGGCGTGCGGTTTTAGTCGGTTCGAGACCGACATGCCACCGATACGGGATTTCCGCACGGAAAAAAAAAACAGTGGTCAAAAATAAGTTAGTTTGTCCTAAAAGCGGATACCACTCCAGAACTCTTCTACCCTAGAGGTTAGCAGCTCTTGGGGTATTTAAAACAGTTTTTTTTAGGTCATGAGTGGGGCAGCAGGGCAGCCTCGGTAGTGGGTGAGGTTCGAAGCCGCAACCACTGGAGAGACAGTCCGACGCTTTAACTATCAAAATTTTACATAATATGTGCTGATTTTATACACATCACACATCACATCAACAGCCTTTAGTAGTCCAATGCTGGACATAGGCCTCTCCTTAGAAAGGAGGTTTTGGCCTACAATACCACGCTGGCCAGACGTGTTGGTAGGGTTTGCATCAAGTTTGCCTTCTCTTTGTAGTGTTGTTATCCTGCATAGTTTGCTCACATAGTCGGCTTTTGCGACACCCACGGGATGAGTAGGCGTGATGACACTCCGTATTCTTCCGTCACTAATAACATATACCAGTTCACTATACTATACCAAAAAACCAAAAACTAAAAAATAGAAAATAAATTTGAAAAAAAGCGTGGGGTGCAACGCTTTTTTCAAATTTATTTTCTATTTTTTAGTTTGGTTTTCTATAGAAAGCGTGTTTTTTAGTTTTTTAAATCTTTTTTTTTTTAATTAGTGCATTGTCATCGGTCGTCGATATATCTACAAAGTTTGAACGAATTCTGACCGTTTAAAGTCAGTCAAAATCACGCCCAAAACAGTCGGTTACAAACATACAAGTGAAGCTAATATAAAGCGTGAAATAAGTACCTATCGACAACTAAGAATAATTAATGGAAGTCATTGGGTTATAAGGTCGATGCTAAACCAAAATTTACATTTCAGTAAAAAACAATTAGATATTAGAAATTCAAATGAATTCTATTCTATCATAATATGTTAAAGCTAAAAATAACAGCTAAGTAACCATGGTAATGAACAAAAAACCGGCCGGGGCGAGTCGAATTATCTATAAAAACGGCAAAAAAAACATGTAACGAACATGGGAGCCCCGCTTAAATATTTATTTTACTCTTTTTTTATTATTTGTTGTTATAGCGGCGACAGAAACACATCATCTGTGAAAATTACGTTTCATGAGATACAGCTTGGTGACAAACGGACAGCGGAGTCTTAGTAATAGGGTCCCGTTTTACGCTTTGGGTACGGAACCCTAAAAACTATCGACTTCCCACAGACTTCAGGAGAGCGAGAGAAAAGATATTTAACTTCAATAATCATAATAATGTCTGATCCAAACGAGGCAGAGCCTAGACTCACAGAAAACCGTGCTAAGCAATTCTTTAGTTGCCTTTCACTGAGTGAGTGAGGTTACCGGAGCCCAATCTCCCCCGCTGACTCGAGCGGGAGGGACTCCAAGGGCAGCAACGCACTTGTGACTTTTGAGTTGCAGGTGTCCATAGGCGGTAGTTGCTTACCATCAGGTGACCCGTCTGCTCGTTTGCCGCCTTATACCATAAAAAAAAGGATTCAGGTGAACCTCCTCCTTCTTTGAGGTCGGTTACCAATATGTCAAAATAAAATTACATATTTCGATTCTGAAACCATTTGACAAACATTTTGCTGCCGAGTCGGCTACAGAATATTTCGTTTATGACTTCTTCAACGACGGAACCTTTCACATACGAACGATTCGATGACAGAATCATTTGTTTATGAGTTGTTGAACGGTAGAACCTTTCAAATACGAACGATTCGCCGACAAAACGTTTTATATAAGACCTAATCAACGACAGAACCTTTCTGCTACGAACGTTTCGCCGACAGAACGTTTAATTAATGACTGAATCGACGATAGAATTTTACACCAAAAAAGGATTCGTGGACAAAGCTTATTTAGGCATGGTTTGTGACTACTAGTGACTAAATGTAAAGGTTCAATGAAAAATATTTGCAAATAAAAATAAATTATTGTTAACACTTAGAAGATAGACGGGAATTGAAAGCAGAACCTCTACTTCAGCAGTCAGATGCAGTAACCACTAGACTAATATATGCTTTATTAATGAAATAATTAAATAAATACCACCTGAACCGAAATCCTATCGTTCACCACAACAACCTGTGCTGACTGTAAAAAAGCGGTCATGACCGATAAAAAAACAGCTTACATTCTACATAAAAGAACTTACCAGAACCACCGGTGATGAATATAGTTTTTCCTTTATAAAACTCTGGAATGGTGGGCACCATACTGAAATCTCGGTCTTCTAAAAACTCCATTTTTGTATTTGTAATTTTATCAAATTCCAACACTCAATATCCCAATGTATTAAATTTTATACACTATGAAATTTATAACATTTATTTTCAAATAAAAAAAGAAAGAAATAAACTCGATTTAAAACAATTTTTTTGGTATGATTTTTTATAATCCAAAGTAAAATTTTCCTTTTTTTTAAACGCAATACTTATTAAAAATATTTAGTCTGTGTTCATGCTTCGAGTCTGTCGACCGAAGTGTCTCATTCTTTCGTAAATTGCTACCTTGCAAACGACGTCATAACTTAAGGCGCATATCTGTTACATTTTTGTATAAAAAGTACGACGAACCAAAAAACTTGTTTTCCAAGCCTGGACATGACCTTGGACCCCGACATGAGCCAGCGTACTTTAAAATTAATGTTTTTAGAGTTCCGTACCTCAGAAGAAAAAAATTGAACCCTTATATGATCACTTCTTTGTCCGTCTGTCTGTCAAGACCCTTTATCTCGGAAATGCGTGGAGGTATCGAGTCGAATCAAACTTCTTAACTAACGTAAAAAAATATACGACCGCAAAAAACGCATATTTTGATACTCTCAAGACAATCAAAATTTATAGGGTACTTCCCGTTGACCTAGAACTATGAAATTTGGCAAGTGATATCGTCTGATATTACAAGTACAGGAAAAAATCTGAAAACTATACATTTCTAATTCATCAATCATCATCATCAACAGCCTTTAACAGTCCACTGCTGGACATGGGCCTCTCCTTAGAAAGGAGATTTTGGCCTAATATACCATGTCATAAAAAATATAAGCTTTATTTGAAGTACGGAATTAATCATCGAGGTGAAGCAATAACAGAATGCGCGGTTGTAATTGTATCCCCCGCGACACAGGATATATTCCGTATTATATATATACTATTATTTATATATTATATATACGTAATGTGTCGCGGGGGACTTTACAAACATACATGAAACGGACACAAAGAACACCCAGACTCAAATCAACAATTTGTGGATCACACAAAGTGTCGTCCTATGTGAGGATCGGCGTTGTGTCAATGTGGTAGAATATTATTATTATTTTAAAGTTAATTACGTGTATTTTTTTTCATATTCAAGTGAAGAGTTGAATTGAATGGAAATCAAATACATATTAAAAATGTAATTCTAGACATATATATAATATAATATTATATTGTACCACATTCATACAACGCCATCTAGTCCCAAACTAAGCAGAGCTTGTACTATGGGTACTAGACAACTGATATAAATACATATATATACTTTTTTTTTTGTAAATACATACTTATTATACATAGAAACACCCAGACCAAATCAAACATTAAATGTTCAAGCACACAAATATTTGACTTGAGCGGGAATCGAACCCGCGACCTTTGGAATAGCAGTCCGTTACACAAACCACTACGCCATACATATACATATATATACATATATATTATTTTATTAAGGAACAAACAAGTCTCAAAATAAATTAATAAATTAACTCTTAAAGAAACCATTTTTTTCTTTTTTTTTATACAACTCCCGAATTAGGAATTTATCCTGTGTCATGATCACACAAAGTGTTGTCCCATGTGGGGATGGGACCCACAACACTTAGCGTAGTAGTGAGCGGCGTGGCGACCGCTTAAACCACTGCGCCATCCGTGCAGTCAAATTGTCTTCAATGCGCCTAAATCTTGATATATATTATAGTAAGCTATTACTTTAAAAAAAAACTTTACTTTAATTTTTCACCCTAAGAGTCAATTCAGTCAAAAAAAGAATCAAACATACCTATCACGTGACATACAAACAAAAAATAAGATTTTAATTGATAACCTCCTCCTTTTTAAAATCGATAAAACTAATATTAAAATCTATACTAATATTATAAAGCTGAAGAGTTTGTTTGTTTGTTTGAACGCGCTAATCTCAGGAACTACTGGTCCGATTTGAAAAATTCTTTCAGTGTTAGATAGCCCATTTATCGAGGAAGGCTATAGGCTATATATCATCACGCTAAGACCAATAGGAGCCGTTTATGAAGAATGTTTCAAAAACGTAGAAAATTTATTACTATTGAGAGACGCAGACGAAGTTGCGCGGGTCAGCTAGTTTATAATATATATCCACTACGTAGGGCAAGGTGGATTGACATCACGAACTGTTTACACCAAGGTGCGAATCACACACAGACGCTTTTTGAAAACAGCATTTGGGACCATGGTATAAATCTTAAATATACTACGTCAAAAATAGTACTGTTATGGTTGCGTGCGAGTTGACCTCGTACAAAAATGACATGACATTCGTCTACGTCGTAAATTACGCGCTCTCACTGTCTTAATTAATATTCTTAATAACCCATCTTCGCCAACGTATCTAGCTTCCAATTTTCAACACCTATGTAGTAATCACGATAGAAACCTTCGGTCCTCCAATAACCTTCTTCTTCGTTGTCCGCCCCACACGTCTGAGTTTGTTGGCTCTTCCTTTTTCGTTCAGTCCGTTCTTTGGAATGCGCTTCCACTCGAAATCAGGATGGCTTCCAATACTTTTTCCTTTAAATTAAAAGTAAAGCAGTATCTGGTCAAACAACTGGCAGAATCAACTTGCTCATGATTTCTTTTTATTTTAATACTAAATTGTTATCAGTATCTACTTGCGTATGTATGTATGTATTCATATACTTTTATATAGTATTTATATATTATAAGGTATGTACTTATGTGTAATATTAATATGTATATGTGTATATATTATATGATTTTGTACAAAGTATACCTGTAATATAAAATGTCTAAATCAACTGTAACTAAAATGCACCTACTTCCAGTTTTCTCTGCATCACCCAATGGTTGACTGGTAGAGAATGCCTTAGGCATTAAGTCCGCCAATGCACCAAATGTGCATGATGTGTAAATAAATAAATTAAAATGATATACGTCGCACCGTGGTGTAAACGGCTTGTGGGGTCAATCGACGTTGTACCCCTACGTACATAGTGCCTAAAATACGCTTGTCTTATTTCCAAAGCGACAACAGTATTCCAACAGTAAATTAATTTCTTAATGTCTTTATTTAACACTAACATTACCCATGAAGCACCCACCCAAAGTTTGCCTGTAAAAATTGCTTATTGGCGGTAAGCTTGTCCGCCCGATGACCATCTGTAAGAAGACAGAGGCATCAACCACCCAGGTAACTATTTAATACAATTGTGATGTCTAATCTCAGAGAGTGGTATTAACTATCCGTCAAACACAATATAAAACAATACCAAAATTTGCAATGTAAAATTATGCGTCATTGTCAAAGAACAATAGAACATAAGCACATGACCGTTCACAAGTTAAGAAATGTTTTTAATGATTGCGTTAGAATTTTAAATTATTCTATGAATACAGAATACATGATAGTGTAAGAATAGAAGAATCCCTTTGGAAAATTGTTCAAATAAATAGCTAGTATTGATCCGACATATTCTTATACTTGTGGAGGAATCGGTGTCAAGTCTTTCTTAAACAAAGAGCTTTCAACCAGGCGTGTAATGCCTGGTGGACCCGTGGTCCAACGGTTAGTTGATATGTCCTATAGATATTCATCATCAACAGCCTTTAACAGTCCACTGCTGGACATAGGCCTCTCCTTAGAAAGGAGGTTCTGGGCCTACTATACCACGCTGGACAGACGGGTTGGTATAGGGTTCGTGTCAAGTTGGGGTGCTATGCTAGAAAACCTCCCCGTGGTGCACCCTGGAAACGCTGGCGATGGCACTGTTTCCTCCTTGTCCACTTGGAGGAGAGGATTATCGCCAGCGGCTAATATTCTAGCAGAAGAGGAAGCCGTTCATCGGCTCTCGGGCAAGGCCTGGTCCAGCAGGGTGGGCGTGTCTGCCGGTTGCCCTGCTGGCTCTTCGCTCTTCGGAGCATGGAGGAGGAAACCTCGGTAAAAAACCAGAAGGTGGGGCCCTGTAGGAGCCAATTTCCCCGCTGGTAGCGGTGGAGAAAGGAGGACGGGCTCGGCGTGTACTGACACTACCACCGAGCAGGCAGGGGGACGTAGTCTCCTTGTCACCGTCGGCATATCGTAATCCCGAGAAGAGCGCTGTGGTCAAGTCTCGCGGCTCTGATCGGGGACGAGGGTCTTGGCTTAACCGCCCGGACCGCGAGGAAGAAAACCTCTCTAAAAAATTCCCCGAATCCCGTGTTCTGGGGCGTGGCCAGGGGATGCATGGCTGATGGGTAGTTCAGTCGTAAGCGCACTCCCAGCCGGGGCACTTGCGGACCCCTCGGTTGGGCATAAATTTACGCTTACCCGGGTATTGGGGGATCTCTGCCCGGGTGGACCTTTAGTTCTCCCCCACTCGTGGGTTTAATTATGGCAGATGATAAACTTAATAAAAACAAAGGATCGATTAATCAAATAACAAAAATGGCGAGCAAAATGACAACCGAAACGGTGGGAAGCAAGGAGCTGAAGAGGACTGGTGGAGTGGATTCGTCGTCCACATCCACAAGTGAGGTGGTGTCGAGAACACCTATCTCGGTGGGGCTCCCAGTAGTAGTCTGTAGTAGACTGACTGCTGGGAGCCGAAGATCGGAGCGCTTGCGCTCCTAATCTGCTACGGCTGGCGAGAGTGGAGGCTCCAGCGAGAGCATGGAAGTTGAAGCGGGACCGAGCGAGAGCCGGAAACGCGAACTCGCGAGGGATGACGAGGACATCCCATCCGTGGAGTCTGGGCCTCCTAAGGGCGGCCGTATAGGGAGGTCGCGTACCCCTGTCCCCGTCCCGTCAGGGTCCGCCTTCTCCAAGGCGGATTCCTACAGACGGGTACGAGCGGACGGCGAGGCCGCAGCGGAGGAGGAGATCGCGGATCTCCTGCTCAAGATTCGGGAGCCGGTGGAGGGAGACGCCCCCCGAGCTCCCGTGTCTGTGCAGGAGAGGGCGAGGGCGGCGGTGGCTATCGTCCAGAAGGTAGCCACCAAGTCAGTTA